AACATATAAAGGTTTAGATCAATATAAGGGACTATATACCTTTCCGGACGGGTCTAAGTTTGAAATATTGTTGAGCGCGAGGGATATCAAGTCCCGACTCGTCCAGTGTGTGTGGTGGCTTTCATTTCATGACACTAGATCCATTTCCACCATGGCATCCTCCAAATTCTCCCTTGCTTGTTAGTTGAACTACTGCCCCATAGGTAACTTTTAGCGTTGAAATCACCACAGAAACTATATTCCCGTCTGTTTGCATTATTTCTTGAAGAAACATCCACTTTTTTTATGTTTACTTTATCGTTACATGCGTAGACATTAACCAGCATGAAAGCGTTGATCTCATCGTCGATGGTGACTCTTAAATAGGGTACTGCTAAGATGAGTGAATCTGTCGACTACACTCATCTTTCGATCATTTATTGTCAATTTGGGCTCGAAGAAGCTTTTGCTGGAAGCCAGTTGGCAGATGATCACATGCTTATTGTAATGATCGTTAGCCAAAAGTAAGTACATATTTCAGAGAATCTGTTTTTAATGTTCTGCATACTGACCAATGAGCTGGAGTTCAAAACGCAGTGGTCTGCAAGTAAAATACCCCTAATTATGGTTGATATAGTGTTCTTCATGGCAGCTTATTGCATAGATAAATAAGTTAGTAAGGGTCATTCTCAAGCCAATGACGCATCCAATGTATCATGCTAAAGATCAGCCTGTACTATGGTAATGTGGACAACATCATGTCGGCCATCTTTACTTCCGACAACAATTTTGGCACCCATTTTAGACTGGGTTGATCCGGTGTTCGAACCCAAGAATTTGGACAGGCAGGCCTGGTGCAACGTATTGCCCAGAAACTCATAATTCGATTAGGACGACACTGCACTGATGCTCTTATAGTCCAATGTAACACAAAGCTGTGCCTGTGTTACCGGACTTCACAATACTAGAACTGCAACATATCAAGCATATCGTAAGAGGCGACTAAAATGGTTGACATGCAACTAGCAGAAAGGGCAGAATGATGAGCGAGAGGGTAAACATGATACAAAGGGGAACAAATGAAGCTGAAGTCTCACTATGGGCTAACGTAAAATTTTAAATAAAGATGATTCTTTGGGTAAAGAAAAAGAAGTAAATGAAAAAAAAATAGAATAAGTTGGCGAAGGGGAATGATGATGATGATTAAGATAATGATGAAGAAGAAGGAGAGGGAGGGGAGAAGAAGAAGAAGAAGAAGAAGAAGAAGAAGAAGAAGAAGAAGAAGAAGAAGAAGAAGAAGAAGAAGAACAAGAACAAGAAGAACAAGAAGAACCAGAACAAGAACAAGAAGGAGGAGAGGAAGAGGGAGAAGGAGAAGAAGAAGAAAGATTTTGAATAGGAGGAGGTAAAGTAGAAGATTTAATTTTGCCTAAAACGAAATGTTACGTAAGTAGATGCTGCTTGTATTAAAATAAAGCTGATGTGGGGGTTGGAGTTGAAGTAGAAGACACATTTTCACATAAGCCAAATGTTATGTAAGTAGGATTTTGAAAAATTTAAAGATGAAAAAAGAAAGCGCACAAGCAGAATAAGGATGAGAAAAAGAGAAAGAGCAGGACTGGATGAAGTATGAGACTCTCGTTGGCTCAAAGCCAATAATTAGGTTTAGTATTATTATCCAGGTAAAGAAGGAAGATAATGAGGAAGAACACCAGAAAAGATCAAGCATAATACTCACTCTGGCCTTGAACCAGATATAATGCAAGTAGAATTCCGCAAATACAGATTAAGAAGAACAAATAAATGTAGAATAAGGATGTGGGGAAAATAAGGAGGAAGAAGGGGTAGAGCATGTGCAGTTAAAGACTCACTGTGACTTTAAACCAGCTTTTCCGTAGAAATAATTCTCAAGTTAAAGAAGAAGACTGTGCAAAAGAATGAGTCGGATGGGAAAGCTTAAAGAGGAGGAGGGGAAAAAGAAACTGAAGAAGAAGGAAAAGAAGAAACTGAACAAAGATAGAGTGAAGATGATGTAGAAAACACATTTTGACCTAAAGTCATGTGTTACATAAGAAGGAGTCTTTAGGTAACAATGATGTTAAAAATATCAATCTAGACAAGAAGTAAGTAAAAATGGAAAAAAAAAAACGTGAGGAGATAGAATAAGGATGAGGAAAAGAAACAGGAGAGGGTGTAGAAGCAGGAGACGAAGTGCAAGTTGACCAAACCGAACTGTTACGTAAGTAGGATTCCTGTTTGAAGAAAAAATAACAAGTTCCAATTCCATTGGTTACATAATTAAAATTTTTGTATCACGTGGGAGTTGTTGCTATATTAAGCCAAAATGGCTGAACCCCTGCAGCCTGTGGAAGGAACCCGACGACTTCGAGAATTTTAAACATCGATTTTAATGACTCCTCGGTGTGTTTGTATTATATTTTTATTTGTATTCGCAACAGAAAGTTTATAGTAAAGTGGGGCTAGGAACTTAAGTGGTGGGTAATGGATGTAAATCTTGCAGGGATTTATCGTTTATGTCTAAGAAAAGTAATTTTACCAGAGGATAGTCAAATCTGCGAGAGCACGTCTTGAGTTTACTGTAAAGTAGAGAGGACTTTACTATAGCTGGACGTGTCAGTCAAAATCGATCAGTTTACATTGGTTTAGTTTATCTTATGCTCTTAATGAACATGATTATGACGACGCCTTTCTGTTTGGTCTTGTTTTATTGATATTGTACTATGTTCAGGAGTGTAGTACAGTTAATTGATGCAAAAATCGCGTGTAACTTCATCAGAGACAAATTTGAGAAATATAATTAATATAATATCCGATATTGAGGGTGTGTGGATTAATTGCAGTTAATAAGTTTGAATGTTAGTAAAAAAAAGTAAAGATTCCTTTTCACGCTTTTAGGCGCATCGGGCATATGGGAAGAGCACCCACATTTTTACAGACCAATCCGGCACTCGGTGGGTAATGTGGTCAGCATTACGCCGGCTGTCTCTACTTCCCCTGGACAGCCATCCTGGTACCCATTTGAGGCTGGGTCGACCTGCGACAGTTTTAATGTTAGTTGTATAAAATACGGAGACTTGGTCTTGGACCTTTTTTCCTTTCCTCCATCCCCTTCCTTTTTCACTGATCCTCATGCTAATCCTATTTTTTCTTCGCTCACTCTTTCTGTCTTCCTCCTACTCTGCCTTTTTTCTTTTCCTCCTCCTCCTTTACCACCTCCTCCATCTTCTTATCATTCTAATCCTTCTTCTGCTTAAGTCTGTTCACTTCATCATTAAGTCATCTTGATATTCTCCGGTGCTCCTTTTCTCATTATGTGACCAAAGAACTTTGTCCCCTCGTTGTTATATATATATATATATATATATAAAACGTTCTACTTTCATTAGCCATTTCGAGGCAGTCAACTTACTGGAGCATATTTCAGTCTCTGAACCTGATGATCAGCCCTCATGCTACAGGTGAAAAAAAAATTCCACAATAAACTCTTCCATTCAGGTTGGGAACATCAAGTCTTCATATATAATAGGCCACATCGTCATGTAATGAGATGGCCAGTTCCTTTTCTCGTCAATTTCCCTTCCTTAGCAATCCCCAGAATCTTTTCTTTCTCAACAGTTCTTAAAAACTTTCCTTCCCAAACAAGTACCCATTCCAGGGTGAAGAGCGGCTGTCAGTTGAGTGTGCAGTGCTGTCATGCAAGAGACCCAGGTCTGTTTCCTCAGTAAGGTTGGGAAGTTGTTTTCTATTCAGGGCAACAACAACAAAAAAATTACATGGCGACAGCATTAGTGGCCCTAAGTACTCAGGCTCCAAGTCCCTCCTGCCTACACAGCAGATGTGGTAGATACAGGCAATGATGGCGGATTAAAAAAAAATATTCAGTGTGGAGCGGCTGGCCAGACAGTTAGAAATGCTGGGCTCATTCAGGATGCCCAGGTTCAAATCCTCTGTGAGGAGACTTTGACTTGCTCTGTCGGAGACAAAATTAAAATCCTAACCTGCAGTCAGTGACAACTGCACTTGCCATGTGGACCTGAATCTAAAGCTCAAACCCCCCCCCCCCCCCCCTCTTTTTTTTTTCACACACACCCCATCCTAAACTGCCCTTTAAAAGTGGTAATAATATAGACAGTGATGACAGTTTTACAGAATTACATGAAAATGTCTTGACCTCAGAGCCTTTCCTGTTCCAGAAAGAAATATTGCCTCTAATGGAGATTGATCTCAGTGCTACTGTATTAGTAAACAAGTGTTCCAACCACTATACTTTGTGTGACTTCCTCAGTGTCTTCTTATAGCTCATGCTATACGAGGTGGGTCTTGTGTGTTCTCCATCAAGATGATGATGACGACTCTTTTTCACCCACGAGGTGGGTAGTCATATATACACACACAACTCTGTCTCATCTACTTTCATTGATTTCTAACATGTGCTTCTTTAACTTGCTTCAGACAAATCCCATTCAACCCTATATATAGCAGGCTAGGAATTCTACAGATCTGCATTACTTCAGTTTTAGTCATATTTATTGTTCACATCTTCTGCATTTTGAACATAGTCTATTTAATTGTCTCGTAGACTAGCCCGCTTAGTCTGTTTAAATGTTCTTGTAGTCTGGCACACTCACTATAGAACAGGACACTGATCTTCTGCAAATAATCTCTCGTGTATAGTCTGTGGATGTAATTTTCCATCCTGAATGTAAAGTTTTTATTTACTGGGTTTTCTAGGTCGAAAGCTATGAAGTTTGCTCCATTAAATGTTATGTCCTGTAGATATTAAATAAGAGATAGGAGAGCACATATCCCTGTCTCACTTCTGTATTGATTGTGAACATATATGATCTGCCTTCTAATGTTCTTGAAAAAAAGTAGAATACTAAAACTAGTTTCTTTCTTTTTCAGAAAAGTCAGCACCAAATGTCGAATAAAAGAATGAAGCACTAGGTCGTCATATCATCATCATCATCTCGAACAACTTGCATCAGGGCATTGTCATCATGTCACTGCCAAAACTTAATTGTCCAGTCGACTTAATTCTCGCTGCTGTAAATCATCTAGACTTTCTCAAATCATGTGATCAGGTCCCAGCTCTTCGAGATGAGGGTATTTTACGGCAGGCATTGTACAGATACCAGCATTTTTGGCTTCCGTTGGCAGCAAAACATGGCCAGTCTGGAACGCTTGAAGCCCCTTTGGATATTGCTTGGATTTGGCACTGTCATTTGCTTTCACCGGCTGCCTATTGTTCAGATTGTGTCAGGGTAAGTTCTTCTTGGCTCCTAGAGAGTCAGGTCTTTAGTTTAGAAACTTAACTCTTTTGCTACCAAGCAACTCCTTTTACATTCTTTAGATACTCTGTTTATTATGGCATTTGTGTTCCATACTGTGATACTCTGTTTTTGATGGCTTTTGTGTCCCATACTGTGATACTCTGTTTATGATGGCATTTGTGTTCCATCCTGTGATACTCTGTTAATGATGGCATGTGTGTTCCATCCTGTGATACTCTGTTTATGATGGCATGTGTGTTCCATCCTGTGATACTCTGTTTATGATGGAATTTGTGTTCCATACTGTGATACTCTGTTTATGATGGCATGTGTGTTCCATCCGGTGATAATTTGTTTATGATGACATGTGTGTTCCATCATGTGATACTCTGTTTATGATGGCATGTGTGTTCCATCCTGTGATACTCTGTTTATGATGGCATCTGTGTTCCATCCTGTGATACTCTGTTTATGATGGCATGTGTGTTCCATCATGTGATACTCTGTTTATGATGGCATGTGGGTTCCATCCTGTGATACTCTGTTTATGATGGCATGTGTGTTCCATCATGTAATACTCTGTTTATGATGGCATGTGTGTTCCATCCTGTGATACTCTGTTTATGATGGCATCTGTGTTCCATCCTGTGATACTATGTTTATGATGGCATTTGTGTTCCATCCTGTGATACTCTGTTTATGATGGCATCATGTTGTAGCATTGACCCATTCTCATTAATTTAGCTCATATCTGATGCATTGTAAATATTGTAGCCTATTCAGACCCAAAAGTCAATGTATCTAAAATATTGACCGCTCAACATTATAGCATTGGCGGCCTGAAACTGCAAGGATTTATGTAGCCTCGTGAGAACAATATTGTTTACAGCTTCAACATTAGAGATTCACTAGTTTACCCATCATCATCATAAGGTGCCTTGACGTCTGGTGTAGGCAATCATGCCTCTCCACAATCTGTGATCTCCTGCAGCATGTATTAGTTCGTGTGCTAACACAACTCCATGCAATGCAGCAAGACTCAAGAATCGTCTCTTGTCTTCCTCAATCCCTCCTTTCACAGATGTTACTAGTGGTCACAACATGTTCTTTTTTTAACTCTTCTCATAACACAGCCGAAAAAATGTCTCTATCTGATGTCTGTGATAAGTTGTCTTCAGGCTCTTGCCTTTTTCAAAACCTTTTGGTTGCTCTTTTTGGCTGTCCAAGGTATTTTAAGCATTCTTCTGTAAAACCACATCTCTGAGACCTCAAGAAATTGTTTGGCTTGCCCATCGATTGTCCAGGATTCACAGCCATATGTTAAAACTGGATGTGTGTAGTTTACCCATACAAGAAATAAAAAAGAGAATAGGAATGGCTAAAACTGTCTTCAGTAAGATGTGAAAATTATTGACAGCTGAAGAACACATTAAAAATGAGAATTGTCAAATGTTATATATACTCAACCCTGCTGTGTGATGCAGAAACTTGGACAATGAACAGGCAGCTAGAAAATCTAGTTGAGTCTCTGGAAATGTGGATAGACAGAAAAACAGGTCATATTTTATGGTAACAAAAGCAGTCAATATGGAAACAGTGGCTCCATCTGATACAGCACGTACCGTTTCGCAATATCACCTTCATTTTTGTGTGAAAGGCAGTGAGAGAGCAGATGCTCTGGCTGGCAGTGTGACTATCAGGATTGAACCCTCTGTGGACAGAAGACACATCATCAATGCCATAGGAGAGTCTAAACGTTGTGAGGATTTCAGTTTTGTGGAAAATGACTTTTTACTGCGTGCCCTGGGTGTACCAATTGGAGCTGCTAGACAGGAACACAATGCAAGAGCCTCCTATCATTACATCAGCCAGAACTAAATGGGAGTTGTTAGCCTAAAAACACTCAGGAGGAGATGAAACACTTATGGTCATGTTGATGTGGAATAAAGATGATCTCTAAAATCAACAATGAATGAGCCACTATTTGCAGATGATCAGCGCCTGTTGTACAATGAAAGTAGTAGACTGCAAGAACATTTGAACAAGCTAAGTTCAACATGCAGAAGATATAACATGAAAATAAATTATACCAAAACTAAAGAAATGCTGGTCAGCAAAATTCTTCGTCCGATACATATCAGGTTTATTAATAGTTGTCTGAAGCAAGTTAGAGAGTTTAAATATCTAGGAAGTATATTCTCAGAGACTGGGAGGATAGATTGGAAATAGAAACAAGATGCCAATAAGCCGGTGCACTTATATGCCAACTGACACTGTTTTTAAGACTTCCAAACATTAGTATGTGGGCCAAAAAACAGATCATAAACATCATATTCATACTAACACTGTGCTACCAGTGCTAGACTTGGACAATATCAAAGGCTAAACTACGTAAAATTAACACCTGTGAAATAAAATGCCTGAGAAAAGCCACCAACTTAACCATAGGAGACAAAGTTAGAAATGATATTATCAGACAGACTGTAGGAACAACACCAGGCAGCAAATTCATTGAGAAACAAAAGATCAGATGGTTTGGTTATCTAGTAAGAATGCAGCCAGAGTAATTACCATCGCAGAAGCTACACATAAAAAGATCTGAAGTGAAAGCAAGAGGCCACCCTAGGATAATATGGATTAATGACATTAAAAAGCTTCTACGTGACACAGAATGACAGTAGCCATTGCTGCCTATCACGCAATGGATCACAAACTGTTCCTGCCTTCAACGCTTAATGGCAGCAATGGAAATTGATGATGATGAATTCTTAGTGTAAGTATAGTGAAGGAGCCATTTTACAGGCACCTTGGAAATATGGTGCTAGTCTCATACTTTTGTAAATCAATGGGAACTTGATGAGTAATGTGGTCAGTGTTACATAAGCACCATCATAGTCTAAAGAACATGGTGCATCAGGGAATGATCAGGGCATCTGGCCAACACTCTGCGCTCATTACTCTTTTTATCTGCCTAGGGTTTTCTCATCATTCATCAATGTAACCATACCGCCTCCGATTGCATATAATTGTTCACTAAAAATCCAACTGTCCATGATTCACTTCTCTATATGAGGATAAGATTTACATAGCTCTAGGGAATTCTTTTCTTATCTCTATTGACAAGAAAAGATTGCTTAGAGTATTTTTCATTTTGCAGTGGCAAACTACCGAATATAAAACGGCCTCGCAAAACCTCAAACAACCAACAAATGCTGGGTTTGGTTTGCGATGGTTTTTTAAAGGATACAAAACTGACTGTCCTAACTGGCATAACACAGCACCCACAAGCAAGTTGAGATCATGCAACTTGGGGATGTGAGTCATGGACTCTCACTCATTCTGAATAAGAACATTTCAGTTTTCAACTAAAGTACTGCAGGAAAATTCTTAGAATCCTGTGGACCAAGAGGAAGAAAAACATTGACATCCTGCCTGACCAGAACATCAGGGGGAACTAACTTGTACACAGCATCATCTCCTGAAAGCTGAGATATTTTGGAAGCACCATAGCTCTGTGGCTAAGTCCATGCGAACGCTTCGTAATGCCGGGATACCGGGTTCGATTCCTGCTGCGGGCCATGCGCCTTGCTTTGGTTTCGACAGCGGTATAAAGAAAGCCGACCGTCCAGAAAGCAATGGCAAACTACTAGACGTAAATTTGCCTAGAAAAACCACACAATAGCCAGCGGCTGTTGGGGTTGGTTCTGCAACATCCTGTAAAGGATACCCAACTAACCACGCACCATAGTGGTCTGGAGAGAACGGTGATGGGCAGTGCAGTTTCCCCAAAAAATGAGGCAGAGGCTGACCTCCACGAATGGGGATAAGGACATTGAAGATGCATTGGCTATGAAAGCACACAGGGCTGGAGAATTGGCTAGAGAAAAATGAGATTTCCAAGCTTGCTATGAAGAGAGTGAGGTTCTGATTAAAGACATACTCATTGATGTTGATGATAGTGTCCTAATGGAGGACTCATGTCAATGTGTATATGTGTGCGCACATGCATTTGTGTGTGTGCATGTAAGAGAGAGATAAAATCCCTGCCTCAAATGGATTGATGCTGATAACCATTGGATTGGAAGGCAAGATTTCTAACGCAGTTTCCAAATTGAAATTCCTGTAATATTTGGCAGAATTCCGAGATTGTAGTTTCCAAAAAATAGTGACGATTTTAAACGCTGAAAAAGAGGGAGTGGGGCCATGATAAATACAGGAACATTTGAGAGGGAAGAAGGGTTAAGAGAGACTTGAAGGGAAGGAAACATGATAGAATGAAAATATGAAGGACAGGTAAATGACAGTACACACATTTATGGGCAAGAAAGGTGATAGGACAAACACTTGAAGAAAACATAAAAGATGGTGTATACATTTATGGTAGAGAAATGTGACAGGAAAAACACTACAAGGAAAGGTTAGTGCACACTTTTATGGTACATCACCCACCAAGTGCCGATTGGTCTATAAAATTATAGGTCTAGCCCTATATTCCCAATACACCTGAAGGCGTGGAATAAGGACCTTTACACTTTAATGGTAGAGAAAGGTGAGAGGAGAAACATTTCAAAGAAAGGTAAAAGATAGTGCAAACATTTTTTGAGAGAGAGTTGGGTCAAGAATTGACATCACAGCACTCTGGGCATTCCCATATGTGCTCTGTGCTCATCTTCGGCAGCCAGCGTAGAGTTCCAATACTGATGGTACTGGTCGTAATCTGGTCATATATCCGTCTTGCCTTTCCCTTGAGTGCAGTGAGCTGGCCAGACCCCCTGGTTACACCCAGGTGTTTCATTCTCCCCAGGCTATAATAATCTTGTTTGGCTTCTGACTTTGTTGCTTGTTCCCACGGGGCCCTGACAATACCTGCCTTGTCATGTATCAGTTCACCACCCAGTATTGCAGATCCAGCCAATCTGTCTGTCTGTCTTTATTCCCCACCACGAAAAAAGATCCAGAGTATGCTCATTATCTGTGACCTTCTCAGTGAA